GATAAATGTTTTAACATTTACTTGTAATTTTAGGCTTCGCAATTTTAGGCTTAGCTTGTTTTCTTACATTGAACATACGTAATATTGAGAAGATACTACAGTATAAAACTTTAAAAACATTTTAAATTACATTTTGTTTTTGCATTAGAAATATGCTTAATGCTCAAGTACGATTCTATTTTACAACAGTTAAGTCTACATTCCCAATATATATAAACATTCATGTATCACTATTCATAATGTGATGTTTTATTATTGTTTTTTTAATTTCAAAGTTCTGTCTTTGCATGACTTATGGAATTCAATTGGAATGAATCTTTTCTCTACAGCCCTAAGTATCCATGTTAGTGAAGCGTTTAAGAATATTCTGGATAAATTAGGAGGCTACATCCTAAACGAGAGAGGGCTAACGCTAATCAAGGTAAGTTATGCCTAACGCAGTATACTCGGATAATGGGAGGAAGCAACTTACTACATACGTTGATATGTAAACTCGTTCGGGTAATTAATATTGTAATATATAAGACAAGTTATTATTGGTCTGTAATACTCCAAAATTAGATTTATCAAATCAAGACACATAAACTAGAATTCATTTCTCGGTTAATAAGTTCTAGAAAAGAATAATATCAGTTGAATTTGTTGAAATTCTTCAAGCTACAATAGTCCTCTAGAGAAACACGTTGATTACTCATATTATTAAGCAACAGTTGAAACTATTTTAAGAAAAGTACACTTATATCGTGAGATTTGTTCCTGTTGTACAATTACGTTTCTTCATCACCCAATCACAACTTGGATGTTAGTCAAGTGAGGTTTGTATCTTTTCTTGTCTAAGTAATATTCTTTCATTATCCAAGTCACAATTGAAGAGATTAGGTGATAGCTTCAAACTATAAACATATATTTGATTTATTTGCGGTGTATTAGAAACTTATAATAATTTATAATAACGCCCCTTATTTTGCCAGCTTAATAGCACCATCTATAGCAACAATACCGCGTTATTCTTGTTTCTTGTTCTTTAATCTATTAACTCAAAAACCCAACCTATATCAGTGACAAATTGGATGTTGTAAAATATCTCGTCAGAAAAGGCCTTATAACTGAAACGTTCCAGGAACGAAATGTGAAAAAGTCAGTATATTGTGAATTTGTTATGAAAGATTTAAAAAATTGGTTGATTGACTAAACAAAAGTTAAATCGAGGACACTACTTGTCCAAAGACAAAAATATCGGGTAATAGGTTATTTAAATATTTGACCCAATGGGCGAAAAACTGAACGATATTTCATTTAAAAAGGTGTATCTCTCGAATAAAAAAAGGATAAAATAGAGTAAAATAACGAGCAATAAATAGCCCCAAGGAGATATGTATCAAGTAATAATACGTTCGAAAACAGCGAGGTACCCGATTGAGTAAAACATCGAGCAATAAATAGCCCCAAGGAGATATGTATCAAGTAATATTACGTTCGAAAACAGCGAGGTACCCGAATAAGTAAAACATCGAGCAATAAATAACCCCAAGGAGATATGTATGAAGTAATATTACGTTCGAAAACAGCGAGGTACCTGATTGATGAAAGAGCGCATTCTATATCATTATAAGTGATATAGTTCGAACGTTATTTTAATTAATTATACTCATTGCTAAGTATATGTTCTCATCCATGTAGGTAGCTTGCTTTAATTAGAAGTTAATATTAATTAGAATGAAAAAAGTCTGATATTTAACCCCAAAGTAGTGTGAAAAGACACGGGAAACATTTCATTCAAGAGTGAAATAATGAGTGACATTTGACTCAAAAGAACGGGAAAGTTGGATGGTGTTTTACTTGGAAGATTAGAAAAAAAGCGGGTGATATTTGGCCTAACTGGAGGATGGGGGGGGGGGTGATTAGGGTGATATTTGAAATAATCATTGAGCTTAAGTAAATGCATAAGCATTCATTCAGTAGCACAAAAAACAAAACAGAAATGCTTCAAGAAACACAAAGTTATAGTGAGTAGTGATCAGGCCTCTTCAGACACACGCCGATTGCCTGCCTCAGGCAATAGAGGTAGAGACGAAAAGGTCATAGTTCCACGAAGTGGATCCACGGGGCGCATTGAGAGGGGATAGTTGCTTCGCTGCCATGACACGTAACATCATAATTAGAGTGTTAGTCAACAGACAGCATGTTGCTAGGGGGAGAACTAACATCATAGTTCGATAACAGAGGGCCTGTTACTATATGCGGATGGTGTTACTAGGCAGAGGGTGATACTAAGGATCTATAGGCGGATGGTGTTACTATAGGTAGATGCTGTTACTAGGTGTACTGTGTGTTTTACTCCAAAAATATTTCTACTAAAAGTTCCTCCCCACCTCTGTCCTTAGAAGTTCAAATAGTTCCTAAAGTAGAAATAATAATAATAAATCCACCCTAATAATTATACTTTAAATTACTCCCAACCTCCACCCTAATAATTATACTTTAAATTACTCCCAACCTCCACCCTTTTCTAAAAAGGTAACATAATATTGTTTTAAATAAAATTTAAATATGTTATTGAAAATTATCCTAAAAAGAAATATGTCAGTGTTAATGTAATTTTCACCATTCTTTCAGTTTGTAGTGTTTTCTGTTTCTTTTTTGGTGTTATTGAATTTGTTTTAACATTTAGCCAAGGTTCTAGTGACGATTTGTTTAGGGAAATTACTTTTGTTTATAAATGTCTCGGATATTGTTTGTAGTTCGTGTTGTAGATTTATGTCACTGCATATATTAAATGCTATGTTATAAATACATGATAATGTGCCGATTTTTTGTTGTGTGGAGTGGGTTGAGTCCCACTTTATATAGTTGCTGTCATTACATGGCTTGTGACAGATTTTGGTGTTGAAACTATTAGTGTTTCTTTCTATTGCTATGTTCATGTAATTTAAAACTTGGTTTTCATTTTCTTCTTCGTAAGTGAGTTTGATGTTATTATGGATGTTGTTTATGTGTTGTAGAAATGATTGTTGATAGTCGTATTTTTGAAGCTACAAAATACATCGTCGACGTATCTAAACCAGTATGCGGGAGGGTTTAGAGCTGTATTGATGGCCAGACTTTCTATTTTGGTAATGAACAATTCGGGCGATAAGGGGCTTCCAATGCTTCGTCCATCAATTTGTTCATAAAACATATTTTTAATGCAAAGTGAAAGAAAGTTTCCAAAATTTCTAAATTCAGGTTGTAATTCAATATTTCAGAATTTTTTGATAATTCTAGAGCTAGGTTTGTTGTTTCCTCTATTGGTATCATAGTATACATGGAGACTAAGTCGAAACTGTACAGTTTGTGGTGATTGTTTAGGTTTTTAAGATTTTTTTTTTAAATTCTAGAACCCTTTTGATTTTGTATTTGTTGTTGTTGTGTAATGGTTTGGTGAGAAAATCTAAAAATCGTGCAAGCTCATGATTATAACTGGCATAACTTGAAAGTATAGAGCGGATTTCAATTGGGTTTTTATGAATTTATGGAGCACCAAATAAACAAGGGGTACGTGCATTGGTTACTCTTAAGATGTTGCACATGTCTTCGGTTAAATCATTGTTCTTTTTTAACTTTAAAAGTAGGCTATTCAGTTGTTTTCCATAACATTCATTAAGGTTTGTGGTTAGTTCTCTAAGTTTGGTTAAATCATTTAGATGTTGTTCCATTAAGTTGTTGTAATCTTCTGTTTACATAATTACAGTTTTTCCACCTTTACCAGCCTTTACAATAATAATTTGTGGGTTGTTTCTTGATTCTTTAAGGACTGATATTTGGCATTTCGTGATGTTTTGTTTAATTTTATGGTTTTTCAGTAAATACCCTTGAATTCTACATGAAATTTCTTGAGTGAAATCATATAGGTTTTGATTGTCTTTGGGTATTTTAGGGAACCAGATTCTGTTGTTGTTTTTTTTTGCCTTGAAATATCTTCGTGCTCTCGTCGTCCGTTTTCATTTCTTGATGATCGATATCTGTTTCATTAACTTCAGTGGATGTGTGACTTTTATTTGTTATCTTAGTTCTTTGTTTATCTCTGATTGATTGTTGCACTCATCTTCTAGTTAAATCTTCTATTCCAGTTTTGATTCCTAAGCCGGGAACATTTTTTGTGTCATTGCATATTGTTATGTATCTGCTTGTTTGA